CATGTATTTCTCTAACATTAATGAAACTGTCTCATGTATTTCTCTAAAATTAAAATTATGAAGATGATAATATCTATGATTAACACCCTCCACAATAAAAATGATTAATCAACCTCTCATAATTACAAAAAAATGAACAAAATGAAAAATTATGATTGGTTGAATGCGGTTTGCACGGTTTGTACAAATTGAGTGGTTTGCATTTGATCGCTCTCCTATATATATATATATGTGTGTGTGTGTGTGTGTGTGTGTGTGTGTTAAGATTAGCCAGTTAGGTGTGATACAATTCCTGTATCCACTTTCAGGTACATAGTTGAAATCAACCCTGTCCACACTCCATTAAGGGTAGGTAGCGGTCCCAACACTCAGATTCCATGTCTAGTGAAAGTCTTGTAAATGCCAATATATCGTGTGTTTGCAAGACATTAATATAGGAAAACCTCGTGTACAACAAGACCCCATGACACAAATCTTGAGTTAGCATGTTTTTATGTTTAAAGTCGATAGGTAGTTAATCTTCTATGACGATTCTATAAACCAACAAATACTCAAACACAGTGTGGTGCACAAATTCGTAAGTCCGAACATGATCCACGAATGACAAGGGCCCGCAAAGAAGGCCACAAACTTGATAAAGCATTTGGATGGCAGATCTTTCATGTGAAGACATCATATAGAATAATTATATGTATACTTGATGAAACATATATTGTTAAAGACAAGGTGAGGATTTTTACGACGGTCATCACAAATTTAATTCGATCAATTCGTGAAACATATATACTGAACATAAAGACATAATCATTCGAGCGTCCTTATGATTAATTACTTATGTCACTATAATTTTTACTCTTACAATCATAAAAACACACTCATTGATAAGAGTCAAAGGCAACATGAATTGTTAGCTCAATCATCTAGCCTACATCCGTTAGGGTCCACCACCTCTTGGCATCTTGTTTGAGCAACCACTTGATTCCCATTTATTAATGAAAAAAAAAAAAAAAAAAAACACACACACACAAATTAAAATCGAAAGTTATAAAATCTGAACAAATGTATAGTTAAAACAAATTGATCAGTATTCAAATTATAATAAAAGTTTTAAGTGGATCATTGAGCTAACAATGCACATAAGGGAAGATTCAACATCTACGACGACCCTTAAAACAATGTAAAAAATTTATGGTTTTATGTTTTAGATTTGACTAAAGAGACCCTTCAGTTAATCATTTTAGAAAATGTACAACATCTGAAATGAGATCAAAATAATATAACTGTCTACCATTTTGGAGCATCAATTTAACCAAATTTAATATAAATGAACCCGACTGATTGTAAAGTTTGATGATCTTTTTTGTTCATCTTTTAGCCAGACCCTACTCAAAAATTTTGCTATAGTGTAGCAACCTCAAGTAAGATAACATTATTGTTAGTATAGAGAGAGAAAAAAAAATGACGTTAAAATAACTTGAATAAAAAAAACAAAGTAGATAGACAAGTCCTAGCCATTTTCTAAAAGGCATATAAACATTCCCACTCACACGGGTTCTTCTATCAAAGAGGTTCCCCTTGAGGTGGGGCGTACATAAGAGCGGAACCTAGATAGAACACGGAGCACCGGCCCCGGCCGCCGATACAGTTACTGGAACATCTCTACCGACAAATCATTTCAATAGTACGGGTGCTGCAATCAAAGTGGATATTTGTTCTTGATGGTTAGGTTACCTTGTTGAGCGTCGTGCAAAACTTTACCAGCCCTTGACATATGAACGAGAAAACTTGTTCTTTCGGTTCTTCTGTCTTTAAACCTATCATGTGTTATTTATATGATGCAAGAGCCATTGTAATTATCAAATGACTTTAATAGCATTAATATATTCAATAAGTTGTATTAATTAATGGTAATTCATTATTTTCAAACAAAAAAAGTAACAATTTATGTTGTAACATTGTTTATCGTGGATATATAACACAGAAAGAAATATATAAAATGGTAAAAATGAATATCATAAATGGACAAGATAATTTGTTAATGATTGTTGTCCATTAAAATACAACAATAAGGACTCAATATTCAGTAGTCTTTTATCTTTAACATGGCGTATGTCGTAAGTAGCAAAATGTAAGAGAGAGTACGAAAGGATAAAAAGATATTTTCTAAATAAGAAATGTAACGATAATTCTTACGAGGAGTTGAGGACTAAAACAAGGTTATAAGGGTCCGTGTAAAGGGAAATGGAAGCACTCTGTGGGGACACACCACGACATAGGATACGAGAAACAAACGTTGAAAATGTACTCTAATGGATGTTCTGGGATATTAGAAAAATATAAGAGATATTAACCATAAAACCAAAAAGCCGCTTGAAGTCACTAAAAAACAGGAACAATCATTCCAAATCAACATAAAAAAATGTCTCAAAATGCTGGAATTCGATAAAAACACATAGAACTTACATCTAAGACATGATCTTGTGTCTTGCTCAAAAAATCAATTATGTTTGGAAAAAAAAGGTATTTTATTCCACAAATCGACACAATTATTTTTCTCTCGGTCAAACAACGTTGACTTTTTGACATGAAGATGTTTGTTCCACTTTAAAAATGCACTATCACTGATAAGAAGGGATCTGTATCTTTTGATCACCTTTAATCTCAAACTCAATCATGAATCGCGTTTGATATAAGTATTGATCCGATGTATCTCATCCTCATATGCATCTAAGGATGAAGATCCCTTTTCATTTTAACTTTCGTTGTCATTGAAACCCAACGGTTATTGATAATACCTAAAAACTTATAATAACAGACTACTCAAAATCATGGTACAGGTGGTCTTTAATTAAAACTTATAATATCCCATCTCTACGTGAATTACATGTAAGACATATTTTTGAATAGTATTTTACAAAAAAATCCCTTTTGTTCCGAATCTGTGATGCTGATGGAGCGCGCCAACACCTGGATCCCTTGTGTAGGGAGTCATTACACCTGTTAAATCGAATCCGCAACCCCTATGATCAACGGTCCAGATTTCATCTTTCTCCGGTGATAAATTGTGTCGCATACGGTCTCTATCGTAATGTAACCTTGCCGGAGCCACACACAGAGAGAAATGGACGGAAGGACCCAAAAACCTAGACTCGACCCCGGAGCTCTCCTCCGAGTCTCCGATCACTTCCTCCGCCGCCGTCATTTCGACGATTGTCGTAAATACGCTCACCAAGCTCACCAAATCGACCCTAATTTTCCTGGAATCTCCGAAATCGTGGCCGTTGCCGACGTTTTAATCGCCTCAAAGTGTCGAATCTCGACCGGAGACGTACCTGACTGGTACGCGGTCATGCAACTCGATCGCTATTCAGACGATTCTGATTTAATCAGACAACGGTTCAATCACTTGTACGGGCTTTTAGACCCTAGCAACAACAAGTTCTCTTTGGCAAAAGAAGCCTTCAATATTGTTTGCGATGCTTGGTATGTCTTGTCGAATCCTTTACAGAAACTAGAATTTGATGATGCGCTTAAGAAACATTTGGATGATTTTGCCTTTTGGACTGTTTGCCCTTACTGCTATTATCTGTATGAGTATCCTAGGGTTTATTTTGAGATTTGTTTGAGGTGTCCGAATGATAAATGTTCAAAAGCGTTTACGTGTGTGGAAATTGATCGGCCTCCGGCCGAGGTTTTGATGGAGGGCAAGTACTTGTGCGCCGGATTTTTGCCGGTAGGGTTTCAGCACGGTAGTTGGAACCCATTTGTGCCACCGAAAAAAGAGAAAGTGAATGCTAGCGATGATGCTGGTAATTGTGTGGACATATCCGATGATGATGATGATCAAGTTGAGACCAAGAGTGATAAATCTCTTAATGTTAGTATTGAGGAAGTTCATGAAGGTGCGGGAAGTGTAAAAATGGACGGTGGAATGCCAACCATGAAGCCTGCTATGGGAAGGAAGAAGTCAGTAGCTAAGAAAACCAAGAAGCTGACTGGCGTTGGGAACAGAGTGACAAAAGAGGGGTTTGTACATAGGGAAGAAACAGAACTGAAGGTGTGTTCTACTGATAAGGATCATGAGGGTTGTGAAAATGACTTTAGTTTTGGGGATCTCGGAGGACCCATTGATCCGACGAATGGTGGGGAAGTAGAATTTTATGATGCTGATGGCGACATCCTTGTGAGTCTGCAGAATGGTATGTGATGGTTATGACGCAGCTGCAAGAGTATCCCCTTGGTCGTGTTAGGTACATAATCGGTCTCCTTCTTTATGTACAAAATTCAGCTTCGTGTTCAGGGATCTGAAAATATGGTAGAAATTGCAACTAGACTACTTGGTTTCCTGGTGTTCTTGTTATGGGGAAGCTATGCAAATATCACTATAGATTAGTAGACTATGATCCTAGGAATAGTTTTCTGACCATTGGTAATGCTTTTCCTATAGATTACTTCATTCTGATGGTAGCTTTTTGTAGAAATTGAGCTGGATGTAAATCGAATATCTATCTATATTAACGTGCTTAGTTTGGCCGCAATTTTTTTGCCTGGTTTTCCTGGTATTCTGGCTAGTTTGTTCACTATAATTGCTCCAAACTTTCTGCCTGAAGTTAAAATATTTGTGATGTTTATGAGCTCAAATTGTCTCTGGACAGTAGTAAACATAGCAAGCATGCTCACGCTGTGCTGCATTCAATATAACTCATAGGATTCAGGAGAGAATCTGAATGGCAAATATGATGATTATTCCACATCCTCATGCTCGTTAGCTAATGGGTACTACAAGCCAATCAATTTGTTGTAAATGACAAGGTGTGAGGGAGAGAGCTGCCTGCTAATTTAGAACAAATTTTGAATGCTTGGATGACCATTCAATATAATGATGTATTTAGAGTATACTCTGGATTATATCCTGTTTAAGGGTTTAACAAAGCTCTCACTTGACTTGCAATTAGAAATTCAACGAATCAGTAGGTTCAGAAACATATAATCCATGAGTACAATCATTAAGAAGGTTTGATGTGCTTGCTGCATGGTTTGTGTCCATATGAACTTCATTTATCTTGTCTGTTCTGTAACATGTTTGATGCCACAATTTATGCTTTAGTTCTGGACAGTGATTCTCATCTCACTTTCTGCCGGCAATGCGACCAGTATATATGTATACATTTTGTACTGTTCTTATTTACCTTTGCTATTTGCATTAGCTCATTATTTTTTGATGAATATAAATATTTTTCTGAAATAACACAGACCTTGAATGTGAAAGTTTCTGGTTAATTGGGGTTTATTTTCTGGGGCAGTGGAGAACATCTTGCTAAACTGTGAAACCTGGGTTATTTGTACTTAATTTTAGTTGGATGCTAAATTAGAGACAAGTTTGGTAGTCAAGTTTTACAATTGGCCTAGTTGGAGTGGATTGTATCATCTAATTCAGGGGCTCTAACACTCAGCTAAGCTTAGGTTCTTACTGAGGTGAACATAGCCAACCTGTTGGTGTTTGCATTTAGGGACCGAGGAACTGGGTGGGGAATCGACTTATTTTCTACTTTCTAGGGCTGGCCTGTTGGACCTGCTTGCATAGGGTTGTATTTATATAACAAAAGTTTACAACACAAAAATCATGAAATAACAAATATATAGAGAAAAGGAGTTTGATCATTAGAATAAAGATTGCAAGATTAAAAATCGAGGGTTGCATTTGGTTTGTCCAAGCAAAAGAAGAAACTTCAGGTTTGTGATAACAAGACTAGGAACATTCAAAGACAAACCACAGATATCACTCGTTCCCTTCATAATCCTTACAGATCCATTTGAGACAAAATACCAATTCTACTCGAAGCTTTAAACTTTATGAATATATATTCATCCACATAGATTGATTTGTGAGTAGCAAATGTAGTAACTGCAACCGAAATGAGACCATCATGTTTTATGTAATTTGCGGTGATTGATATGAGGGATGATTTTTGTAATCAAGCCCGTTCCTGACATTTTATGGGCGACGAATATAAAAACAGAACCCACTGCAAAAAAGAAGGCTTTTAGCAACGACTTTTGTCGTCGCTAAAGTTCATTTATGATCAGATAGAGTATATAACAACATGTTGTCATTATAACTTGTGCCGAAAACATGTCATCGCTAAAAGGCGCATCGTCAAAGTTCACTTTTTTTGTAGTGACCCTCAGTAAGTACGAAAATAAATTCAATAAATGTTTTTCATTAGTAGAAAATTGAGTACAATAAATGCTAATAATTTACTGATGAAAGAAAATCATATTTATCTTTATTATAGATATATAAAAGAGTTGTTAAATTTACGGACTTCTTGTTAGGTAATTTGAACCCAAGAGTATAAAAACTATGATTGATAATTTTTTTATAAAAAGGCAAGAGTATAAGAAATATGTGTTATTTTGATATAAAAAGATAATTCGTGTGAATGAAGTAATCGTGAGTGTCAATGAGAGATCAATAATAAAGAAGATTATCAAGGTTTTCTAGACAAGTAGACAAATGAGGATCAGTAAGAATATGAAAGAAAAAATTATCCATTGAGAATCAATAAAAATAAATAATGAATTAAACATATAATATGCAAGTTTAACAAATGATTGTTTAAGCACTTAAATAGAATCTTGTGGTGTGGTGGAATCTCAATGAAAGATACATAAGTCAAACAATTGATGAAAATATTTAAATCATATTTTTCTTCTTTTTTTGCTCAACTAAAATAAGATGTTAAGATTAAAAGTTTATGTAATATGACATAAGAGATATTACTAAATACATCTGGTAGAAAAAAAGTATTGATTAATTACAAAATCATGAAACACGTCACAAATTATAAGAACAATAGATTAATTGTCAAACAATAGTAAAATATTTTATGTAGAAGCAAAAATAGATAATAATAGTCAACATAGACAATTAAAACAACATAACCAAATAACAATAGTCAATAGAAGCATAAATTGATAAAAATATTCAACAAAAATATATAGCAATAACAAGCACATGATCTTAATTTTAAATTGTTGAAACACGAAAACAGTCAAACATATAGAGATAACAATAACCAATATCATTGAACCTTGTTGGAGATAAAAAAATTAGAGTGACAAAAAACTATAGCATATAATGAATGGCCTATTAATTTTTTTTATTATTTAATGTAATTAGTTGATATATTTTTTAGTCCTTATTATCTAAATTCTTTTTGCCTCATATTATATGCTACAATTTTTTGGATTTCTTTAATTTATTAAATTCTTTTAGACTATTATTATATTTAAAAAAAAAAATTTGGGCCCCTGATGCTTTTGTACCATGGGCATGCGTCTGTACACCCTCCTCCTCAAGGGACTACCCTGATTGTAATTTACTCTTGGATATTAATTACATTTTTATTAAAAATAGTTGCATTTTATTTATTATATACTATATTATAAAATATTTGATAAAAACTTTTAAAAATCATTTTTATGCATGAAGTATTGTTTATTGATGCATATTACTTAAAATTCAAGATTACAAGTAATTTTGCTTAAATACAACTTATTAAAGCTTCATTTTTAAATTCGTGTAACTAATTGCAGATAAACATAATTAAATACATGATAAACATTCATTTTAAATATAGAAAATCTAAAACATAATTAAATACATGATAAACATTCATAATTAAATAATGATCAAGTTCTAACATAATGTTTAATTATTATATTTATAAAAAATTATATTGTTAACAAAAAATAAATTACTTTGTTATTAAATTTAAATTAAATTATAATAACAAATTGAATTAAAGAAGTTACACCAAAAAACGAGAATTATTAAATAGTAAATTTGCAACTAATATTGATTTATTTATTATTTTTTAATTTTTTATGTTATTTTCAACTTTATATTTCATTCGAAAATAAAAACATCATATCTTTTTCAAAACTACGTAAAATCGTATTAATATCGATAGAGAAAAAAAAATAAAGACTAAATATTAAAATCGAAATTTAACTCGTTGTATTAGATGATTATTCTTTTAATATATAAATTTATGGAATCGACTTGTCAAAGAAATCAGAGATCAGCTGTCAACTTTTGTCCATCGGACTTTTTTCAACATGAAGCTTGTATTTTCAACACTTGTGACTTTTAGCTTCAATTGTTATTTCTTTTTCATAAAAATAACTCACTCACTCACTCCATTATATCTTCACCCAATTAAAACATAAAAGAAAAGGCTTATAAACCAATGCTTTTTAAATTTACAACTTAAGGATACTAGATATTAACCACTTCGGTTCGGTTCGGTTGTAATGTACTGGTTAAGTCTCTGGGAGATGAAGTGGAAAATCTCATTTATCAAGCTTTGAATACAAGTGGTATCAAAACCTTTGGTCATAGAAATTCATCTACGATGACTTCACACCATTTGCGATCTCTCGAGGGATTAGTCGGTGTGCATAAGCTATCCTTAAAACCCACGGTTACTAAAAATAAAGATTATAACGCTTGTTTAGTTTGGACTCAGGTTCAATGTCTTTTAGTGATTAGGAAAGAAAAACTACTAAATGAATCTAAATTAAGAAATATTAGAAGTGTACCATGCAATGTAGTGGGGTTCTGAAATTTATACATTGTTTTGTTGTTTGTCGTCCATGATTTTATTTTACTGAGAAATCGAGAGATGAGTTGGTTATTATTTTATCTTAAAATACATATTAATATGGGTTTCAAGATCGTAAAATTCTAATTTTATGGTTTAATTTATGTTTTATTATAACTTAGATTTAAAATAAAAATGTATTTTATTTTAGTTTAATTATGATTTTTTATAAAAATAATAATAAAGTATTTTGTTAGGGGTCAAAAATCTTTTAATTTAAATGATAACTTTATTTAAGATATTTTATATTCAAAATTAAAAATACTTTAATAAAAAAACAAGGTGTTTTATCTTGGATTTTCTTGTATTTATTGGTTAGTTATATGAACAGTTTTAAAATTTTAGGAAAAAAAAATAAGTGTTTCATCTCGTAGTGCTTATCTGGTATGCGTTATATTTATTTCCAGTTAGCTACATGAATTCGAACATGAAACTTTAATAAGTTGTATTTCTACTTAATCAACTTATAATCTTGAACTTTAAGTAATATGAATTAATAAATGATACTTGATGTAAAAAAAAATAGTTTTTAAAAGTTTAGCCTAAATGTTTCATAATATAGTATAGATAGTTCACTCAGAAAATTGAATTGTAAGGTTTGAAGAGTTTAAAAATAACAAAGAAAGAAGTAAACACATTTTTATTTGTAAAACGAATGATAAAATAAGTCTCTTTAACTTAAAGGAAAAATGATGATGTTTGTACACATGATTGATAACATTACATATACATAAAACCAGCTGACCATATAGTTATGCTAGTAACGTGTCACCTAGCTATTAACCTGTTAGTTAAATTACATGTATGATTACAGGTTTACGAATTTAATGTAAGTTTATATTGATCCTTCATACATTACTATGATAA